TATATATATTTATACACGCACCTGTTTATCTTCAACGGAGATCGACTCGCGTTAACAACAGAGGAGGAGGAGACGAAAGAAGTGCGGGTCGTTACTCCCCCGTATATAACTACTCACCCAACAATCCTTTGGCACATTATCGTGCGCAAAACGTACTACTACTACTACTATTACTACTGCCACTAGGTATATGTGCATCGTAATCACGTACACGTGTATCTTGCCGAAACAACGAAATCTTAATTTCCAAAGGGCCACACGGGTTATAAGGTACATGCAGGAAACTATGTGCGTCGCCAACATCACGTAATTTATTCATTGGCCGGGCATTGTCTATGAAAAGCCTCCGAGCGCTCAGAGAGCAGCTTCCAAGCGAGCTATAATGTGGAGAGAGCGCGCGCCAAAGGGAGAGAAGTCAACAAACACACACGGGGATGGATATAGGAGAGGAGAGGAATTCTCGGCTCGTCGTCGTATCTCCTGCGCTTTGGATATGAATTATACGATTTAGGTATAATACGTGTAGGGGCAAGGAGAGGTGCGTGTATATACCTCCTCTTCGTCTCTTGGTCCTTTCGGCCGATGCTTTTGCCTCGTGTATCGAGGCGTATAGGTACATGGAGTGGCGAGTCTATATGGTGCACAAGTAGCAAAGTATATAGTATACGAGCATTCGAAAGGACGAGTGGTGTACGCATAGGGGGATGGGAATTGGGGAATGGAGCGATTTAGCCTGTGGGTATGTGCGTGCAGTAGGTACATGATTTGGGGGTGGGACGAGAGATGATGGTGGCGCAGAACTGCTGCAGAGTCGTGATATTAGTTACAGAATGCGCGCTCCTCGTCATCCCTCTCTCGTACGTTACCTATACGTGTCGAAATACCGAGAGCCAACCGATCGCCCGGTGATGGGACTCTCTGCGTTATTTAGCCCATTCGAGGGCTCTGAATTGGTCGTGGTATGCTGCGGTGGGTGTTTTTTTTTTCCTCGATCGTTTTGTTTCGAGTGGAGGTAAGTTGACGTTCCAACAATCGTTTGGATGGATTTTAGAACCCGCGGATTTTCATCAGTTAATTTATTCCATCGTGTGGCTACATAATGGGTTGTCCAGGTAATGACGGTCGAAATTTCCAAGTGCAGAGTTAGCTCGCTCGCGAGAAATATGATTCAATGTTTGCCGAAAACAATACTTAAATTGCTCCATTTGCCTGTTTAATCCCACTGGCATTTAAACACATAAATTTGCGTTTTATTTGGTTTAATCTTCTGTAGTAATTATGTTGGCGGTACTGATTGAGCTTAACTGATTATCGTGTTTTTGCAACGTGATTTATATAAAGAAAAAAAAAAAATTTATTTGACTAAAAGAAAAGATATAAGGTGTAAGAGAACTAAAATGTCTTATTTTATTGAGGATGCTCTTTTTATTGGCAACTTAACATGAACAAATATAAACATTGCATGCCCTCGTTGACGCGAGTCTGTATCGTATACGTAGCTGATGGTAAAGTTGAAAAAGGAAAAAAAGAGAGGAAAAAAAAATATTTCTAAATTTCAATTGTGCCAATGATAATCATAAGCTTCGACGCAATAACACAACTTTAACCAATATTCAGCTTGTTGCATGATAAAATAAAATTAAAAATAAAGGGGACGCAATTAGCACCAGTTAAACAAGTTACGTACTCGCGAGCGAGCCAACTCTCTCTGCATAATCAAAGCCCCATTACTTTCCACTACAACCCTCCCTCCCTCCCTCTCTCACTCTGTAAAGCCATATATGCGAATCCAATCAATTATTGGTAACGTCCGGATTTTCAATTGCAGCCCCACTACGGCGTGAATGAATCCTCGCCCCGATAACCATTTATTCCTCTCTCTCTCTATCTCTCAGAGCACGCGGGAACAATGTACTCCCAGGGTGTTAAATTTAAAGAGGATGTGTGTGGAAGAGAAAAACGAAGTCATGAGACGTACCTGTGCAATATATACGGGAGCTTCCAAGGAAAGCAACGAGAAAAGAAAAATAAGTGCGCGCGCGAAGAAGATGCACATGCATATATATGTGCAAAGTAGGTATACATGCAACGTTGTAAAGCAGTATGCCTCGCGCTATCTGTTACTCGCCCCATTTCCATAAAATTGCACACGAGAGTGACGGGCTTCTTTGCAACTTTGTCCGTTCATTTTTTTACCCTCAGCTCTATTTTTTCACGGTCTCTCCTGTTTCACACTACTCCTCTTAGGTGTAGAGATTTTTTTTCTTTTTTCAATCATACCCACGTTAGATTCGACATACGCTCACACGCTGGGTCTTATATACATATACCTATGATAAAATCGAGTTTTCGATCCCCCGCTGATCTGAAGTTGAATGGCAATCATAGCACCGTCGTCTCTCTGTACCCATAGTGCGAGAAACGAGCGCACGATAAAAGCCACGCGGGAGTCGCTCGACCGTGTATAGATACGGCTCGCAAAAACGTACAATCGAGAGCGTTTTCAACGTTACTCCGCTCTACGTGTCCTTCCTATACGTAATACGAACGCATTTAATATTTCGTACGAGCGGCTTTTTTTACCCACTTGGCGTCGAATTAAGCCCGAGAACCAACTGTTTCGCGCAATCTACAAAAGAAGATGTTACTGTTGGTCGTACGTACATATATGCATACGCGGTACAAAGAGGGGCCGAGAGCTTTGAAATTCAGACGAATGAAAGTTTTCTCGGGGCGTGGAAAATATTGTACTCGGCCGTGAGTAATCGCATTTGAGCCCTACTTTGCGCGAATCGTTATTCAATGATGCTATGCGTACAGTTTTTTAAAATAATTATTTCATCGCCCGTCTTCACGCAGCGGTTTATTGTCGCGAGTGATTCAAAGTAAACATGATTGTTATGAAAGTACACGTTGTTGTTGCGCATTAGTATAAACTGAAGAGATAAATGAAAGATAATGTTTTGATAAAATTAAAATCTGCATTTGTCAATGTTGTAACAAATATTGTACCGATTCGTTATTAACTTAGTTTAGCCACTTTTCATTTTAATATTCTTATTAGGTACGTTTTATTGGGTATCGCAGCCGCGATCTCTCAGCATGTGAGATTATTATTTTCATACGTACAACTCGTGATTACTTACGCGGTAAGTTATACATATTTTTTGTAACATCTATCGTGTTAACGCAATGGGATATTATAACTCGTGTAACGATGAGCAATAATTATTGACAAGTCGAATTTGCCGTAACGTGGGATAAAAAAAATTTATCTCAATATTATTATGGTTTAAAACAACGAAAAATAGTAACAAAAAAATTATTCCTTCGAGCCGGATTTGAACCAGCGACCTATGGATGTCTGCCACATCTCGAACCAACTACAGTCCACCGCTCTACCAACTGAGCTATCGAAGGCGATGTTTCGGCTCGCCGTTTTGCTCGCATATAAACCGGTTTGCCTTCTCGGCCTCGTATATCACGATCGCACCCATCCATAAATCACATTTACTTTATGCAAGGAATGCGTGTACGCTTTTTATTTGCCTATACAGCGTATACTTACTCTCCGCTCTACCGACTCAAGGTTGCATTCAAGGTTGTCATCGCCTACACCTGTATTCTACTCGCCTATAAGTGTACATCTTTTTTTTTTTCTTTCTATAAATAAAATTTGAACCGCTTGCGTCATTCAACGCTGAGGCCTTTCACCTTCTTATTAAACGTGACGCAGTTATCAACAATCGCGTAATTAAGTAACCACAGGTAAATAAGATAAACTGACAAAAACTTTGTAGGTTAGAGTCATTACGCACTGCACTCCCCCACACTCTGCCGAAAGAGTCTTATCAGTGAATGTAAACAGAGCAATGTCAAGAATCAAAACACTAACAACCCGCCACCACTTGCGAGATTTTTGACAACCTGTAGGTCATGACAACGAAAACTTACGCGTACGAAACGACCTTGAAACTTGGACGTGAGTACAAATCCCTTAAAAATCTTAAGCACGTACTGAAGTGTAATGTGTAAATGCACACGAGCAAGAGCATTTTATAGAAAATGACAGCTTCCCCTAACCTTAAAAGCCTCAAAACAAAAAAGTCAATTGATTGGGAAAACTCACCTTCGCAATCGCCACCCAGTAGCCGATACGCCGCGTAGCTTGACTTAATCGCTGGACCCGTCAAATCCTCGCACTGACAGCGCTGACTCCGTCCACTGGAGCATGTACTTCACTGGGATAAATCACCATAGTCGCTATTGCACTCACTTGTTTGTTTTTAATACACACGCCAATTAAATAACTCTTCGTTGTGTTGTTTTTTGTTTGTTGCGGACGAACACGCAACACTAAAATCAAAATAGCAGAATACTTGCACTGTTTATATCACACGTTATATATATATATATATATATATATATATATAGCATGGATTAGTCACCTGTTGAGTGATTGTTCAACTAAAAGTATATAGTTTGATGAATTATCGGCTGTCAGTAAGCTTCTCAATTTTGCGCGAACAAAATAAAATGATTGATTGGCTGCATTGGCTTTCGTTAACCTTCCTAAAAAAAAAAAAAAATGGTAGTTTTCCTACGAGTTTGAAAAGTCTCTGTTTGCTAACCGAGAGGTTTGCGGCCCGAGCCGAAGGCGTAAAGGAGACTTTTCAAACGAGTTCCGGAAAACTGCTTTTTCGCCCGAGGAAGTACCAGCCTCCCAAAACCACCCGAGGGTGGAAAAAAAAATTTAATCAGTAAAAGTCTAAGAGATCAGTTTAAAGTTACGTTCGATCAAAAGTTGTTTGATTATTTTGGCCAAAATAATTGAAGTATGAAACGATCAGCGCCATCTAGCGAGACTGATTCTAAACTAAAAAAGAACCAGATTTCATGGGAAATAAACTCTCTAGCCTGGTAACTTTTTGCTACTGACTTTTTTGAAAACAAAAAGGGTCTGCAAAAAGGAACTTTTTAGTTCGAGATCGGACTCGCTAGATGGCGCTGATCGTTTTTCGCTATAGCTAAGCTGATTCTCTCCCCGCTCCCCTGAGCCCTGAATTTCAGCGCGGGAATTGTCACCCCAAACATTAGAACAGTATACCAGCAAGCCGGCTCTCTCGCTCTCCCACCATAACGCCATCAGCTACATTTCGTGAAAGAGAAAGAGAGAGAACAGAATAAATGATTCCCATTTCCCTCTTCGTCTTTCATCTTTTCAGTACAGCGCGTTGCGTCGATGAGTACGGAGCTTAGCTCTTTTAATTTGTTATATTGTTTTCTTTTTTTTTGTCGGCGTAACCTCCGGTAAAAACAATTGACAAAATTTTTTAATTTTACAGTCCACCAAGTGTATGTGTGGCTAGAATAAACAAGTGAAAAATCAACATAGGAAAAAAAAAAAAAAAAAAACACGCCTAAAAATGCCTCCTCCTCCCAAACCTTCTCTTTCGCACATAAATGTCGAGAAAAGTCAGCTGCCCTGCGTTTTTTCGGAAGGACTCCAACGACCACTAGTAAAAGGCAATGGGAAAAAAAAAGGGGGAAGGAAATCAGAGGCAGTCTCGGGCACTTCATTTCTACTTCCTGGAAATAGGAAGGGGGTCGCAATCTCCACGCGACGAGCCCACCCTCTTTTATGTTGGTGGTTTTTGTTGCCCCCCTCCCCCTATTAATCCTTGCCCTTTCTGTGTCTCTCTCTCTCTCTCTTTCCTTTTTTTTTATCTGCGGTCGCCTCGCAATGCACACGTGCGTACAGGTTTTTTCCCCTTTTGCGACATCGAGACTATACTCCATACCTATACAAGGTAAAGAAGAAAGAGGCAAGGGGGGTGGATTATAGAGCCAGTGAAATTGAATCGCAGGGATTTTACGGCGAGATTCGCGTGACGGATGTACACACGTGGCAGCCTGTACTACACGCTCTGGTTTTTCTTTCCAAGGTGCGTTTGTATGGAAATAGCGCGTGAAGGCGCGTTTCTTTGGCTTTTATTGCAGGTGTCTCTCGCTCTTTCTTGGCGGAGACGCTGTCAGCGCGCGAGATTGAACGTGATGCGTAAGACCAAATTGATTGGTAACGCGAAGAAAAAGAAAAAAAATTTTTTATTAAATTTCACAAGTATACCAAATGTCAGTCCCGCGTCGAATATGGTTGTTTCATGATTTCCCCGATGGCATTGTTAGTCCGTCGTGTACACACGCGCCCGCGCGCTTATATTTATATAACATTATGTACATAATATTACGTAAGAGCACAGGCGCACGCATACAATACGAGGAAGTATATAGATAGGGAACTCCAGCTAATTGAATGGGGGAAAGCCGGTCAGGCGGGACTGCTTGTCTCCTGTCAAACGGGGACAAATAATCCGATTGATATGTTGTGTGGTCGTTGTTGTTGTTGTTGTTGTTGTTGTTGTTATTGTTCTCCGGTCTTTATTAGCACGGATGACGTTGGTGTCGATATTTGGCGAGTTATTGGTTGCGCACAGCTGGGCGAAAATGCTCTATTCGATATAAAATGACGAAAGAATAAATTTGGTTTTGCGCTAAAAGATAAAGACGGTTCGGCCCACCCTATATTTATGGAGAGTGCCATCAACGTGTCACATGACCGACAAAAATTGGCGCGATTAAGAAAAAAAAAAAAAAAAAAAAAAAAAAAAAGGCAAAA